TTACAAAATGAACAAAATTGTATATAGCGAATACCAATATCATATTGTTACAAGTTTGTTTATTAATCGTTAAATTAGCTTACAAACTTGGAACTGGGGATTAAACAATAAACAAAATATTAAAAGAAAAGAGGGGTATCTAAGTCCTATGCCAATTTCTACGGAAATTGTAATAATTCAAAGATATAATAAAAATTGAATTGGGGAGAAAATTGACATTTATGTTTGATTACATAGAATTTACCATGAGAGATCTGTGTATTGTGACTTTGGCAATACTGTATATTCATAACAGTTCATGTTCAAATTTCCGATTTTGAACTTACAAAGTTCAGCTAATTTAAATAGATCTAATTATGAAGTTTACGAAATACCTCTTTATATTAATTCAGAGGTTCTAATGGAAAGTCATACACTAGTGCTGCAGATATTTATAGGTTTGGAATATTTATACGTGAGATTTAACAGGTAAACAACCATTTGTGAAATCATGACAGAAGTCTCGTATTAGACATCTATAAAGGCGCATGGTCTATGATACAAAATACTGTTCCTGGGTAGAGTTAAATCCTTTTACAGAAAATAGATCAACTACTTTTGAACTTCACGAAACTAACTATTGGCATCTTCAATACTACAGCACTTTAGAATACCAAAAAGTGTTTAGACAAAAGCAGAGACAGAAAATACAAAACATTCTTACAAATACAAAATTCACCCAAATGCAATTTAAATTCCAAATGATACAAGTGAATTGTGTTTCTGAATATAAATTATATTAGCATTTGAATATTCAGGTTCTAAAAGTGTCAGTTCTAAATGAGGGTATAATTACAATCACACGCCTCTCTTTAAGTGATAGTTCCAAGTGTATGGATTTAAAGGAGCGACTGTATTTTTCATAACTTCCATTAATTCATTACTATATGTATTTTGTCCTTGGTGATACAAAACAGATTTCGATTTTGGTATTATTCAAAACATTTGTTTACGAAATTGAATAATACTTGGTATTATTCATTCACAGTTTCAACAATTTTATTGATGGAGAAGGGAGGTACTTTATAAGATACTATAGGTAGTGCTTTACGATAAAGAGAATGAATATATCAAGAAAACTAAAAATTCATGATGAAACATCTCCGATAAAATAATAAGACACCATTAGATAGGGTTGTTAAATGGAGCAGCATACTCCGGGTTAGCTCCGGATTACTATGTAATTTCTAAATTTTACTCCACTCTGGAGTCATAATTATATAAACCAAACCACTCTATACTCCACATGAAGTGATCGGGAGTGATCTGGAGTGATCTGGAGTAATCCGAAGTGAGAATGATGATCTATTTTAAAAAATAGCCAATGAAATAGCTTTGTGATGCGGGTAAATAAATTCACAATTATTGTTTCCTTAGCGTTAGTCTGTAAATATCGATATGTATTGACAAATCATATACGTAATTCGTTAGTATTAGTGAGTATTATCGTTATGCAATAAATTTAGTTAACGTTAATTATATACAATACAGCTTTTGCAATTTATTAACAAATTTATTTATCAATACGTGTTTTAGTTGATTTAAAGTCATGCAATTTTTTTATAACTTTATTAAAATGTCTCATAAACATAAAATATCTACTTTTAATGAACAAGGTTTATTAGATAATGAACCTACTGAGAATGAGTCCGAAGATACTATAGAAGAAACATTAACGTTAACAGAACATACTGCAAGATCAACAAGTAAAGATGAAAGTGATAGTTCAGCTTCAATAACTTTACGTAAAACTTCTTGGGTCTGGAAATTTTTTTCAAGCAATTTAATAATAAAATGAAGTTACAAGCTTCATTGCTTAATTTGCAAATTGACTCGGGAAGTAAAGTTAGTAATCTTTTTCTGAGTCTCGACTTGGTAAATATTTTGCTTGATTTTGGTTTCGGTGGCGACTAACTGGTCCGGGTCTTTAATTTGTCCATTTTTTAGAAAACACAATGACAAACTCAATAATTCACAAAATACTACAGATAAATATAAAAGCAAGCTATATTTAAAAACAGACAAATAATATCAACAACTTACAAATATAATTGTAGATTTCATTATTTGTTATCAACTTCCCTTATAGATAATTCTTATTTTGTTATGTTAAATGCATTTGATGAATGTTATCAAGTATCTTGCTATCAAACTATAAAAAATGAAATAATGGATTATTATGATAATATGCATAATAAAATATTAAAAGAGCTTGAAAAGTATCAATTACATGTAATATTTGAATTTCAATTACTATGCAATTATATCTTGGCATGATAGTTCACTTCGTTGATGAAGCATGAAATTTACGTCACTTTTTGCTTGATCTTTATCACTTTCCTGGACAATATACTGTTACATATATTCAATAAATTATTATACAAGTATTAGAAAAGAATAAGATTACTAAAAAGTTATTAGAAATTACAATGGATAATACAGCATCCATAATAGCTGCAGCTCAGGAACTTAAAGAAAAATTGTGAAATACTGAATTTATTCATCAATATTGTTTAGCGCATATACTTAACATTGCTATACAATATGAATTACAATTAGTGATATCTACTATAATGAAAGTATGTGCATTTGTAGTGAAGATACATCAATTAACAAAATTATGTGATTCATTAAGAACAATATGTATGCAAACTTGAAAGTATTGTTGAAATAAAATCTGATTTAAATATTGAGACTCGATGAAATAGTACTTATTTAATATTAAAAAAATTTCATCATATGTATAATATTTTGGATATTCTTGTTGCTAAAAATTGGGATCTTACTAGCATTTATTTACAAAAAAATGATTGAACACAAATTAATTATATGATTCAACTACTCGAACCAATTTTTATTGCAACTGAAGTATTATCATCTTCTACATATCCTATAATAAGTGATATAAGAGTAACTATTATCAGTTTGCTTCAGCATTTGGAATCTTTTATTCAAGATCATGTTGATTTAGAAGAATGTATAATAGTGAATTCAATTAATTTTAAATTAAAAGAATATTGGAATTATATAGAAGATTCAACAACAATTGGCACTTTATTAGATCCATGTTTAAAAACTAAAACTTTGTGGATATTAATTAATGTAATAAGGCTATATTGACATTGCAAAAGTTTATGACATTTTATAAAAATGACATATCACTAAACCAAAATACAACTATAATTCCTGTAAATTTTATGAGACAACAAACAATTTTTTTGAATCACTTCTTATGGAGCAAATACTAAAGAAATATCTGCTGAAGATGAAATTACTCGATACATTGCAACACCAATTGACTCTAATTCAGATCCGTTAGATTGGTGACGCCGTTTTAAGGGAGATTTTCTGGTTCTTGCAAATATAGCATCCTGTTATTTAAGTATACAAGGTTCAAGTGTACTCTCAGAACAGGCATTTTCTATGGCAGCAAATACAATAACCAAAATTCGATACAACTTAAAACCAGATACAGCACGTGCAGTAATGTGTTTGAAAAGTTGGATTCAGCAAGTACGTGATAAAAATATAAAAGAAATCGATATTGAAGCTTGTATTCAGAAAAATTTTCGCCGAGATTGGGGGAAATTATTGGATGTTTGAAAAATAAAAAACTCTAACACTTAAAGTTAAGGAGTATTTCTATTCTTTTAGAATCATGAATTATTTTGTATTTTCGAAATATGAGTACGAAGCTTTGTTTTTTTAGAATCATAAATTTTATTTTTTTTTGGAATTATTGTTTATTAATAAATAGCTTTTATCCAATCAAATTTATTACATATGACTTTTATAAGTACTCCGGAGTAGCTGGAGCAGTATTGGAGCAACAATAATATGAATCCAGTTCACTCTACTCCACGCCACTCACGCCATTAACAACCCTAGTTGACGGTAATCAACACATAGTCAAAATTTTCCATTTTTCTTTTTGACGATAAGTAGCAGCAGGGAGCGTGAACAGACTTTTTATTTTTTGGTGTAATTTTTTTCACCTCCAGTCTGCAAGTTATTTTACTTAAAATCACTAAAATCGATAACAATTTTGATATATATCAGAAATCGATACTCAGGAACATGTCTATAAAAGGTGTTTTTTCATTTTCTAGAAGTTCAAGAACTATAATTTGTTTTCTTGACAGAGTGAAGCGATTTAAAATTTAAGAGATATAATTTGCTTCCTTGATTAGAAAACACCTAAAACCTTTAAGATTTATATCAATTATTTGTATAGCTATTTGGACTTTAACTGTTCTTAAACATCTAGAAATCTATATTGCATTCTTGCCTAGCTAAAGTCTCCGAAATCTTGAATTTTATAATGATTGTTTTATGTTTTAGGCTATGCTTAAATGACGTGAGATTTATGTTTTATAACACATTTTGGTTATATTATCCTGCTTACAGTTACCCGAGGATGAAATCCGAAGGAGGGGTCCCACAAAGAGGGGTCTGTCAAACCATTATATCACTGTCCACTCGTCAGCTCGTGCCCAGATTTGCGTAGTTATTTACTTTTGATGTATATACTTCACCGACAATAAGAGAAACGAATTGGCAGGATATAACCTTTTTCCTCTTATATTCAGAAAAAGAAGAGATAACTATATATTTCTGACTTCGAGTGGACCTGGCCACGAGAAGGTGGGTTATTGCGAGAAAGCAGGCGAAGAAGTTAAGCTGGCGAGTATAAAATTGCAAAACATAAAACCCACCAGCATGAATTTTGCACATTTCAGGTGCAGAAGAAGTTGGCTTACCACAAACTTTGCAAGGGACACGTTTTTTAGACCTCCAATGTTCATGGCATCCTTCAAGTCGTCGACAATCACGTCCACAAACTTCACCGAGTTGTGTATATAATCACAGGTATATTTTCCAGACATGGGTAAAAGAAATATTTTTTATTTAAACAAAAGATCTGATTAAGGAATAATATAACAAAAAGTACAATATTCAAAATGGTAGACTATAAAAATATCGAATCAGCTTTAGTTGAAGTAATTAAAGTAGCATATAGCCAAGGTACCAAAAAATATGACAAATTAGGAGCATCATATGTGAACTATCTTAAGACTTTACAACGAAAAAGAGATCCAGAAGATCATGTTGGATATGTTGCAAGACAGCGCGTCCCAAATGAGGAAACTTATAATGAAAGAATGGCAGATTTCAAAGATTGGTATAATGAAGAAGTATATGGTAGTCTTGAAAATTTATATATGTTATATTTCGAATTAGCTAGTCAGGAAGTGTTGTAGAAAAAAGATCAAGAAAGAAGTAGATGATATTCTTCAAAGAATTCATGGTTTAGAAATTTAATATTGTTTAGCCACTGTGTGACTGCCTTCGGCAAGGATTTTTTACATATTGCAGTTGAGCTTAGAAGAATTTCAAATATTAATATAATTACTAAGATACTTCATTCTTAATTTTTTTACTGTATTACATGATTATTATGCACACCATCTTCAAATACAAATTTTTAAATACACGCTATATTGTGTATTAAAAAAAATACTATAATAAAGTACTAATTATTATTCTGATTTTCTAAGACCTCCTGTTGGATATCATACAAATCTATAACAAAATTAGGAACAGTAACAGCAGGAACCACAGGAACATATCCAGCTACATTCGGAACTCCGCTAACAATCGGAGGGTTCCAGAATACATTCTGTACTGGAATATTTATCTGATAATTGGGAAGACCTGGCCTAGCGCAAGCAGTGGCAAGACCATTGTGATAGCCTATTGTTCCAAAGTCCCACTATAATATTCAACATTTGCAAAATACATTAGCTTTAAGTGTGATTATTAATTATCAATGATTGGACAATCTTACCTCTTCTACAAATACGCCGAGTTGCCTGGCTACTGCTACTTGCCTGGGTGTTGGTACTGCCTGGCGTGACCAGAGCATAGCCTAATATTAAGAATATTAAGAATATTAAAAAACATTTAGAAATTTTGAAAGTATTAAATAATAAATACGCCGTAACACACATACAATCATACACCGGTCAAATTGCCCAGTAGCAGTTCGTGTGACCTGTTTTCTATAAATTTTGATTGCCAATACGCATCTTACATACACCTGGAGCATCCAACGCTCACACTTTGCCTTCAAGTCATCATAACTTTGTGACACAGCGATTTCGCACATTATACGTGCATGAGGTCTTCCCTATACAATCATTTTATAGTAAGATTAAATAAGATTAGAAAAATAAATCTAATACACACAGTACCTACCCCTCTATCAACAGGAGGAATCTCACGATGTCGCCGGGGAGGTCTGGGACGGATTGTACGACCAAATCCATGTCGAGGTGGAGGTGGAGCTGGAGTTGGTGGAATAATGTTTAAATTTGGACGTATGGCGAGATCGGATGACGATAGGTTCTCTCCTCCACGTGGGCGATAATGGGCTGTTATAGGATACGAGAAGATTATAAAACTGATAACAATCAAATATTAAGCAACCCAAAGGATTTTTTCTTACCTGAATTAACACCAAATTTTATCGGAGCATTACGACCAATACCTCCATTGGGAACAGTAAAAAAATGAATAAGTAGTCCAACAACTGATGTATGCTCGTTTCCTTCTATCTCGACTATAAATACGTTTCCCTTTGAATCAATGTCAAACTTATATCCAGATGTTTCGTGGCGTTCAAAGAAAGCGTCAATGGTTTCTACTGATATATTCCAGCCTACCTGTAAAGGCAAACTATATACGAGTCAATGCTGGGTGAAACTTAATCCATCCGCGTGATATACACTTACTGTTTCTCTTTTAGACCCTTTTCTTTTACACTCCTAAAATTCCTTTCTAGGGACAGAAATTTATTAATCATTTTTGAAAACTTTAATTAAATTTAATCAGATCAATGTTACATAATCGCAATGTCGGCACTGATAAATTATTCCGTAGAAAGATGCAATAATAATCTTTTGATTTTCCCAAGGAAAAGATATAATTGAACAGTACCAATTATGGAATAAGGCCCAGCTCTCGAAGTTGTTGAGGGATCACTGTGTGAGGGTCTTCATAGTACCATACTTCGATAAGTACTATCCAATTTTCATCGCAGAGTTCTTTTTTTAGCTGATCACGTGAAAACTGCTTTTTGAATGCCTCTTGATCTTTGTGGAAGAAAGCGTGAAAACGTTCATGTTGTATACCTTGGACTTCGATAGCAAAACTATATTGTGGATAGTATATATCGAGTTCAAGTCCTAATGGATGATCAGGTGTTTTTAAGAAGTCTGGTCTACGAATATCAGAAGGTGAACCTAATAATTTTGTAACTACATTTTTACAAAGTTCTCGTTTCCATGAACAAAAGGGGCACCATGTATCGGAATTTTTTACTTTATCCAGATTTGCATACCAAAGATGATTTTTAGCACATTGCCATAAAAGAGGTGTAATCGAATTAATATATTTTTCAGAAATACAATCACCACCTTTTTCATTTGCAACGTTTTTAGCTAATTCAAGATTTATTCTTATTAAAGGAGCTTGCCATATGTGATTTTTTACACATTGCCATAATAGTGGCGTATAACTATTTTTATATTCTTCGGAAAGACAAGTGCCACCTTTTTTAAGAACGATTTCTTTAGCAATATCAAGTCTAGAACATCCTGCACATCGAGGACACTAAGTGCCTTTCTTTAAATCACATAAACTAGCATTCCATTCATGATATTTAGCACATTTCCAACGTAAAGGAGTTTTATTATTAATATAAGTTTCAGAAAGGCATTTCCCATTTTTTTCTAAAGCAATATTACAAGCGTCAGTTAATAACAATTTACGACCCATTTTAGAGGTAGTCATACATGATCTATTACTATATTTAAATTTAATTATTATCAAGTATCCATTTCGGGGGATATTCTATATTTCTATCTACTAATAATAATTGTTCTCTCACAAATGATCTTTCAGGTCCATCACCATTTTCATCCATAAGCCAGTATAATACTGGTTGATTTTTTTGAATTAATGATTCCTTAATACGAAAAATTTTTGGGGACCAATTCATGTCAGTTATTCGTCTTTTGCCAAATTCTAATTATCCAGGTTCGAGTAAATATAAAACAGAATCTTTATAGCTTAACCGAGGTTCATCAAACCCGATAGGCCTTCGATGTTTAACAGAAGGATCAGCAAATATTTTTTCACCTTTTAAAGCTCTTTTTACAGCTTCATTAGGAGACATATGAATTAATCGGGTAGGAGTATCATTATAAATGTCATCATTAATACGAAGACCTTTAACCCAAGATCGCCATCTCTCAGTTAATGGTAAATGAAAATCTACAGCATCTTGACGAATATAGGAATGTTTCTCAAATTCTTGGTGATCACGTTCAGCTATTGATGTACTACGTTTAGATTTAGCTTGTATAATTTTTACACCATGACTAAGTAATAAATCTCTACACTCATCATTAGCTAAAATGTTTAAAGCAATTTATGGTGATTCTAATAATCATCTTACATGGCCGAAAGTTTTAATTGTGAATAAAGATAGGCGACTTATTAGTTCCCCTATGTTTGAAAATTCGATTACCGATTTTAGGGGAATGGCTAAAGTGGAGCAGTCCCGTGACTCAAGTAACGTCACACTGATCATCTTGTAATATGAATCATGTAATATTATAAAGTTATTTATTCTGTAATATGAATCATGTGATATTATAAAGTTTTTATTCTTTTTGCACTTCTCACAGATAGATTTCTATATTTTATCTTTCTCATACTATCATAATGTTACAATAGTAATATAAAGATCACAAATTCAAAAATAATTTAAAAACATGAAAATTCCAAAAATATTTATATAATGATAAAATCTTCTAGTATTATTTCACTTTTCATTATTTCACTATTTATTATTTCACTTCTTATTTTTCACTTTTTATTTTTCACTTTTTAGAAATTTCACTTTTTATTTTTCACTTTTATATATATTATTTCACTTTTCTGATTTTTCACTTTTATTTTTCACTTTTTAACTATTTCACTTTTTATTTTTCACTTTTACATATATTATTTCACTTTTATTATTTCACTTTTTCAATTTTTCACTTTTTACTTTTCACTTTTTCAAAATTTCACTTTTCACTTTTTACTTTTATAATTAATTATTTCACTTTTATATATTTTTATAATTATTTATTTTACTTTTTGTAATTTTGAAAAATGTATAAATAGAGGTGCTGTCTGAGCCTTAACTCGACATGTTGTAACTAAAAATAAAAATCTCTCTTAACAAAAATCTTCCTCCAAATACTTCCTGCCTCTCATATTTTCTTTATATACTTCAAATCTTGTGTATAAGTGATCTTATATTATATTGAACCTATTAAATCATTAATAACTTTATATCATATTGTGCCAAACAAATTATTGTTATTGAATTATTGAGCTTTATATCATATTGTACTAAACAAATTGTTATATTAAAATTATTAAAATTGGATTTATAAGTATTTTTACTTTTTATTATTTTGAATTTTTAATTATTAATGAATATTCCTCACTCATGAGAAGAACAAAGTGAGAGTCTTTGTTATTATTATTACTAATCATATTATCTTAAGTTCTAGAAAGCTTTACATTAATATAAAATTTTCCTTCAAATCTTCTTTATTATTCCTTTATTCTCTTTCTCTTTGATCTTTACTCTCCAACAACTCTCTCACATTATTATTTCTTTTTAAATAAACACAATTTCCATAGAAATTGGCATAGGTCTTAGATACCCCTTTTCTTTCTTACTCTCTTCCAATCCAGATTCTTGTTTATAAGCTAATTTAATAATTAGTGAACAAACTTGTAACATTAAATTTCTTATCTAATCCATTCACAAAAATAAAGATTTACAGATATAGATCGAAAAATAACTTCTATTCATATGTTATTTTCTTTGTGGAATTTGAAACAAGTTTGTTAATAATGCAAAGAAAGATTTAGTGATATATTTGCATTCTACCAGTACTTTTAACATCTCTATAGATACTCTTGTTGATTTGAATATAACTACAATATCTCATACAATCACATGATATAAGACTAATGAATCTGAAGAACATGCTAAAACAGTCAATTTTATTCTTGCTAAGCATGCAGAGAATGCAATAATATTAAATATTGATGATTATCATAGTATTTATACAAAACAAATGCTGATATGATCATCACTTTTACTACAGCACATCTGGTAATGATTTTGATGAATCTGATTACTATACAAGAAGCAATTTCAAAGATGAATATACACAATCTTGCATTGGTTGATGCCAAGTTAATCTGAAAAATAGATTCATGATGCTTTATGGTTTTTCACACAATTAACATTGGAAATTTCATATAGTTGATGATGATACTAGATTGGAAAAGTTAACTATATATAGTTATGACATTAGGTTGAAAAAACACGGAATGCTCATTTTATAAAGGTGTTATTCTTGTAGACTTACAGAAAAATAATCTTCATTCTCTAGATGACTATGTTAAAGCTGTTAATATTATTGTAAATGTTTCATAATTTGTATAATCGATCCTTAATCGATCTTACGATATAGATCTTAAGCAAATCAGCCAATCACACGCACGAAAGTCTTCCTATGCTGTGATGTAATACTGTGATTGACGTAAGCACATAAATAAATTCTAAATAAGGAACTTCACATGATCATAGACTCAGCCGGCTAGTCGATGTAAAAATTCCAACCCAATCGCGCTGGTATTTTGTTGCCGGCTTGAAACACTAAGTAAATGTACTCGTTGTCATTCATTTGAATATCATAAACTATCTATTAAAAGAATGTGAGAAAATCAGTAGAATGCGTATCTTGCAAAAGGAGGTTTTGGAACAATTATAAAGCATTAAATCCATGACAAAAGGTGGGATCTGGAGAAAATATACGTAAATGCAAAGTTGCGTTAAAATATATACGCGTTATCGTTATAGAATCACATTAAAGGGATAAACAAATATAATTTTTAATTTGTTAGCATCAAAAAAAAACATTAGCGTTAGAACAATGATAAGCAAATTATAATTTATCAATAAATTCATCCTTCTCCAACCCGAAAACGTCGTTTAAAGTCAACAAGTACAATTCCTAGGCATATGCTACAATAATTACATCAATAATGTTATCATTATCGTTATTTAAATTACGTAACGCGATATTGAATTCTAATTGGTTCGCCGCAAGTTACACTAAAAAATTCCACCGATACGTGAATCATTTTGCATATATCGTTATTTTTTCACTCATATTGATTTTTTCCTGAACGTTTTTATTGGAAACACATTTTGCCGATTATTTTTTTCATTCGTTACGTAGGATATAAAGTGCAACTGGGGGGGGGAATAACTATAATAGAGGATGAATGATTATTTTTGCGGTTCAGGTGGTTATTATTACGCATGAAGTATGCTGTCTTCTTTTTTTATCGCAAAAGTAAATACGTACTATTCTTGAGCGGACATCGGCTCGTCGAATAGTATTATCTCCGCCTATTTTTTTCTAGTCCCATTATTATGTCACAAGAGAAACCGTCCAAGAAGGAGTCGCGTCACGTTCGTTATAATAAAAAAACGTAGGCTCGAAAATGAACAAAATTCGACCTTACCAGCAGAGTATAATGAGCCTGTTCTAACAACGACGAACAATCTTTTTTTTTTCAACCCGAACCGGGTATATATTGTTTCGAATTTTTTATAGTATTAGTGTGCTTGCGTTGATAGATCAACTGTCCAGGTTCTTTGCCACGAGTATACTTTGTTATGCAAAAATTTTGTTTCTATTATTGAGACGATAGGTCCTCTGACTTTGTATTTGTGTTGTAGAAATCGCATAATCACTGTAGTAGTGGCTTAATACTGGGCTAGGGTGGTTCGTCCAGTCCGCAAAAAAATAAAAGGAAGATTATAGTTAATTCGCATAAAATGCAATTATAATCTCTTTTTAATATAAATTTATCGGATCTTGTCCGTGTACTTTATATATCCGTGCATTCCATGCATTAGCATATGTACAAGTGACAAAATCTATTACATCGAAAAAGAGTTCCTCTTTGTTCGTTGGATCGTGTAACACCAAAAGGAGACAAAATTCGTGAAGAAATATCTATAAGAGAATTGTTAAATTCGAGAAGCTAGGTTAGCCAATAATGAGATATCCGATATCCCATCTAGATTTCTTAGACTAAACCCCTTTTCCCAACACAAGATTTCCCCGAAGCCATATCCCGACAACCCATATCCTCAACAACCTATTTCAGCGACCATCCATATCCCCGACATAAACATGACATTTCATCGACATAATGTTTCCCCGACATAACATTTTCCTAGCTTGGTATAATGTTGGGAGAGACCTTTATATATAAGTTTAACTCTAATTCTAACCTAACATATTAATTCCATGCAAAACCAGTCAGATATCACAATATCTCTGGTCAGGAAACTCTCCATTCGGGGAAACATTATGTCGAGTAAATGAGATCGGATAAATTAATATAGCAACACGTTAGACTAGAAATTCTGAGTTTACATTATTTAATTAACTTCGATATAAACACTTACCTGCGTTTGTCAATTAAATTCAATATTATGTCTGATTTATTGAAATAATAAAGTCTCTTCTTTTAACATATCAAATATACAAAAACAGTTTAACGCAGAATTGATTCACACACACGAATGAAAGGTCTATAACACAAAACACATACAAATGGAGGTTAGTTAAATAATAAATAGCCTCTATAAGAATAAATCTATGATTTAATGAAATAATCTAAATCGATTTGCTTGTCGTGTTAGACAAAAACTTTTATTGTTTACACACACAAATGCAAATAGAAGTTATTAACGTTAACTCTGTCTGTCAATATCACTGCACTTTTTTTGTGGCATTGGACAATAAACCAGCTTAATAAAAATTGATTTGCACACGAATGGAAGTCCTATAAAGGCTCTTTTTTTTTTAACACAAATCAATTCAAATGCATATCGATATCAATATCGATAAATAACACGCACAAACAGAAGTTCTATTTACAACATTGCACATATCATAAAGATGAATTCTAAAATTTCAAATACCTGGATCACAATACTCATGATTGTAGTAAATATTCCGTCTTGGAAGTTTTGAATAGCACAAACGAATTTATAAAACTGACTGAAATGTAGAATTTTCAAACATAAATATCATTTCGAAGGAAATATTTAATCAGTTATTATTGGCTAACTATTCTAGTATCATAATCATGCAGAGTCTTACTTTTCTTTTATCTATGTAGTTCAATTCTTCGATTGTATAGTCATGACCAAAAGTATCTAACCTCCCTTAACTTTCCATAGATCATGTACATGTACTGTATAATGCACCAAATCTTTCTGAGTACGTACATACAAAGAACATTACAAATGCTGATCATTGATACTACATGTACATGTATTTAGATCTTATATATCGGATATTGTATGCTCATAAACTTTCACTCTAGCCATGGCGAAAAAAGTGTTGGATCATGTGATTTTCTACCCGATACTGATCCAACAACAACCATCAGATATCCTTAAAAAAATCTTTGCCAAAATTGTTACTTGTT